AGACCTTCCATAATCTCAGTTTGGGTGTTCCCTAAGCTCATGACCACAGGCTTGAACCTCTCCACTTTTAATACTTTCACTCCAACAATGTGTTGACTCCACTGGTTCTTAAAGCCATGGATTTCATTACTGCTTGTGTTTCCTAATGATCTTTTTTCCTTTTCCTTCATGCTCAACTTAAATTAAACATCAGCATTTATTTATCAAAATACAGTTGAACTGCTGAAGTCCTTCTCTATGTAAGTCTGAATTCTTTTAGCTGACTGTTCCTGCAGCAAAACATGCATCGTGCTCATTGGCATTCTCCGAGTCCAAGACTGGTAACCTCCAGGGACTACTCATGTTCTCTGCCACTTAGGCATATTCCTGACCTTTTCAGTCATCCATTTCCTTCAATGAATGCTTCATACTTGTTTATTCACCTCAAGACTGCCTCCCCTGTCCTCACTAGTCACTAATAATCTAATTTTGAGAACTTGGGCAAGCTCTCACCACTGGCTATATCCATGTGCCTGTATGCTCCTTGTCCTCTTGCATTCTTAGTGAATATAAGGCTGTCCAGCAACCTCTCCACACTAGACCCTTTCTTCTCCCAATACCATCTTAAAGATGTAGTCAATATCCCTGCTCTCCATTTCATTAGCTTTCAGATAATCGATTTCGTTTTGTCTACTGATTAGTCTCAACAACTGCAAATATTATATGTCTTTTCTCCTCCTTAGAAAATTCCCCTTCGCCCTCATGTTCTTCTAGCTAGCAGGTGTTCCTTTTCTGTTTTCTACAGCAAAATTTCTCTATACACTTAAAACTACTCATTATCTTTAATTCCTTTTTTCCCTTTGTCTCTTGAGGTTACTGCAGTTAAAGCTTTTGTTTTCTCCCTCTGTATTACTTTCCTGGGGCTTTCCTGCTAAGTTCGTCATCAGTCGTAGAATTTTCAGACATTATAGAAGCATGTGAGACAAGCTGATCACTCTCATCTTAGCAAAATTCTTCTTTATTGGCTTATAGGACATCATCTCCTAATTTTCTTCCAAACTCATTTTTTTCAACTTTAGTGATTATCCTTCTTCATATTTTGAGTGACTAGGCCACACCTTAAGCTCTTCTAACTCATATACGCAACAGTGTAATCATAGCTCCACCTGAGTGTCTGAAGGTATCACCAAGTGACCATCTCCAAAACTGTCACTTCTGAATCTCATTCCAACGAGTTTTTAATTTTTCTCTGTTACTCTTTCCTTGGGTTATTCAGGTCAAAAGTCTTTTAATCATCTTTAGCATTTCTTTGATTATTTCTTCCCTCTTTTTAGAATAGATCTAGAGCTTCACACCTCTCCACTGACTCTACTATTGTACATCATCATCTTTTACCAGGAATCCTGTAACTAGTCTTGCCCTGTCCTCTCTTGCTATTTACAGGGAATGTACAAAATACCACCCTGAGGGATCCTGTTGAAGTGCAACTGAAAAGAGCGTGACTTCATGTTTCTCTCACTCACCTGTTTCTGACTCATTCTCATAGTGAAAAATCAGTGTGTAGGATGCTGACGCCGCCTGTCTCCATCCAGTCCTCATCCGCCACCCACCGTTTATTCTTCATTTTTCTCTCTTTGCATTTTTTTTTTATTCTTGCTTTTTCTCTGATGAGCTAAAGATGATTTTACCAAGGTTTGTGCTGGGTGGTCCCTCTGCCAAGAAATTTATTCTCTTGGGTATATGTGGTATGCGCATTTTTCTCAGTATCTTTTTCTTAAATGTCTCACTTAGTAGGGCTTTCCTGATCTGTGATCAGCCTACCTCCAATTCCCTGTCACTTGCTTTGCCCTTCTCCATGGCACTTATTGTCATAACTAAAGGATATATTTTCTTTGTTTTGTTTTTCTCGATAATTTCCCTTGACTAGAATGTAAACCTCACTAGGATACAAGTTTGTTTTGTTCTGTTTGTGATTCTGTTCCTTAGCATGCAGAAAAGTACTAATATAATATTAAGTATGTTATAAACCTTTATTAAATAAATGTATAAATTATTTTGTCTTTTCAGCATCATGATTTTTTTACTAAGAAATGGAGTTTTAGGGAATTTAGTATGTAGTGGAGATGACACTTAAGTTCTGGTCTGCCTTGCGTCATAGTACAATCATTCTATTTACCAGTTTGTCTCCCAGGATATATTGTCCGTGAACTTTACATTGAGTTAATTGCATGATGACATCAATATTGTCATCAGTATTGTGTGTTTTGTTAGTGTGCTTATCCTCAATCAATATTTGAGAAAATGAGGAACATATTTTTAATGCATAGTTCATGTTCAAGCACCTTCTGTTTTATCATTAAACATGTCAAAAGAATTTGTTGTCGTAAGATAGTTCTAAGAAAACCAACTTTTTTTGCCTATTAGTGGAAAAAAGAGTGTATTTTCTTTCCAAGATGAAAAAGAATCTGAATCTTGTAAACTTGAAGCATCAAGGAATAAATAATGCTGCATATTTGGTGAAAATAGCTCAGATATTCCAGGGATGTGGATTCCAGTAGAGGCAGCTGAAATTTATGTTTGACCACTGAATTGTTCTTAGTTCAATGGAATCAGATTTTCAAAATAACTATCAGGCTACTTGCAGTCAAGTACAGAACTGATGAGAAATAGAGGTCACACTTTGAGCAGGTGATTATAGATCATGATGAGTGGGAATCATACTTTCAAGTTGTTGCAGGTGTGTTTAAAATTGGAAGCTATAGGATGTGTCTAGTCTATATTTCCTAACACCTCCCTTATTTATAATTCATATTCAAAAGAAGTGATTGAGCTGATAGTGAATTGGATATGTCAAGAAGTACTGTATCCCTGGGTTATAGAAATAAAGCATGATTATCAGCACTGTTCCAAAACATTTGGTTACCTGGCCAACCAATTGGCCTGTTTTTGCATCAGCCCAATCCCTGAAATTAGATTGTGTCATAAAATGCAGATATTAGCTGAGAGGCAATAGACTTTAAAGTGAGAATCAGGTGGTAATGTAAGTAAAGTTATGGTTTGAGTGGAGAGCTTGAGGGCTAAAATCAGACGACTCTAATTAAAAAAAAAACAAACTCCAAACTCATTTCTGTTTCTTGTTTGGTAAGCACACTGATAGCTAACATTTCTCCTCAGCTTGTCCAGATTATTTTCCTGTTGGGTTTTTGGAGTGTCCTACTAGTAAGTTTAATGAGTGTTAGAGCAGTGTCTATATAAGAGTTTGGGGTGTCCCCACATATTGCCCTTCTAAAAAGGCTTTACTATCCAGTCACTGGGATTCTTGGGCAGCTCCCTAAAACTGAGACTGTTGGAGCAAATCATAGCCTTCTCTAACACACATACAGAGACCTCCCTTCAGACAAGCATTATAAATGCCCAGCTTATCCATCCACTGTCCTTTCTATCAAGGGTCAGATCTCCATTCATGCTTTATTTTACCTGATGTCTTTAAACAGTTGTTATAATTTTCCAAGAATTGATAATGTTTAAATGTGCAAGCATAGTCTTGAGAGAAGCAATTCTGCCATTATCTTTAAACTTCAATAAATTGGGATATAGAGGTTTTTCATTATTTGTTTATTTATTTACTTATTGGTACCAGAGATTGAACTCATGACCTCGCACTTGCCAGGTAGGTGCTTGTGGCGCTAAGCTAAATCCCTGACCTCTTATCATTCCATTTAAAAGTCCTTCTAATTCCCATTAATTAATTTTAATTTCTTTGAGTCATGTGTTATTTAGATATGTATTTTTAAAACTGTAGTACAAAGACTTTCTATTTTTTTGTAAATGATTTTTAGCTGCATTGTATCATGGTCAGAGAGTATACTTTGTAAGATATATCTACCAGCAGATGAATGGATAAAGAAAATGTAGTCTTTAAACATAGTGGAGTACTACTCTACCATAAAGAAAGATAAACTTCTTTTATTTGTTATTTGTAGAAAAATGGGTACACTTTGAGACTATACTGTTAAGGGAAATATACAAGTTAAAATATTGCATGGTTTCTCTTATATGAAAGATGCAAATTACAAATAAAAAGCAAAATAAAACATACTAGGAAGTAGAGTGAAAGATCTTGTTCAAATGGTAAAAGGAATCAAGTAATGGGAGGAGTCCGAAGGGAGAGGAAAGAAAGTAGAGAATAGAGAAAAAGCGAATCAAAATATATTGTGAACATGTACCAGTTCCCAGAAAGAATGTAAACGTATTGCTAACACATACTCATAAAAAAAATCTTTTAATTCTTTAAAAGTTGTTGATACTGGATTTATAAACAGTATATGATTTCTTAACGTCAGCGTGTCTACAGTAAAGAGAATTGACTTCTTAGCTAGTGTGCAGTGTCGTGTGTGCGTGAAGTAGGTCATGTTTATTATCGTGTTCTAATCTTTCATATTTTTGCCCTTTGCTTTTTCAGTTGAAGCTAGCGTGTTAGAAGGCTCTCAATATATTATAGATTTGTTCATTGGTCTTTTTGGTTGTGTTAATTTTTCTCATTTATTTGGAGTTCATTGTTAGATGAGTTTAAGTTTAGGATTTTTATGTCCTTGTGAATTAAATACTCTTAAAGTACAAGTTTTGCCTATTTATTGCCCGTAAGGCTTTTTCCCTTAAAGGTCTACTTTGTTTGCTGCTGGAAAAGTTACATGTTTTTGTTTGTTTTTCTTTTTTTCTGTCCTAGTGGTTGAATCCAGTATCTTAGGCATTATGTCTTCTAAGTAGTTAGATTTTGCTTTCTTTAATTCAAAGAAATGAAGACTGTCCAGTTGGATACTCTTTCTTTAACTGGAACATAGAGGTCATTACAGTGAATAGAATTACCAGTTACATTTACAGTCATCAATACAATTTTTTTATTTATTACCTTTGTATATTTCCCCTTTCAACCAATATTAATTTATTAAATTTTTGGATGTTTTGTGCATTACACTACTCTCATTTGCCTTTTTTAAAATTTTCTTTCCTTCTTTTTAAAGGAAAAGACAGAGTTTTTAATACCCCGTTGTGTGAACAAGGAATCGTTGGATTTGGAATTGGAATTGCAGTCACTGGTGCTACTGCCATTGCCGAAATTCAGTTTGCAGATTATATTTTCCCTGCTTTTGATCAAGTAAGTCTATTAAATTTTACTGTGAGTGATCCTTTGAATGGTTAAGTCCGTGGAATACTGAAATATTGCCCCATCCTCCCATCACCCGTCTTACACACATTTGTTATTCTTGAGGTAGTGTTTTACAGTTAACATTTTGTGGTAGGTAACATTTCTAAAGTGTTATTGTGGGAAATGGATTTGGAAGGATGGACTCATTGTGACATGCCCCTTATCTCCCTGCAGATTGTTAATGAAGCTGCCAAGTATCGTTACCGCTCTGGGGATCTTTTTAACTGCGGAAGCCTCACGATCAGAGCTCCTTGGGGCTGTGTTGGTCATGGGGCTCTCTATCATTCTCAGTGTCCTGAAGCTTTTTTTGCCCATTGCCCTGGAATCAAGGTATTCTCATTAACTTACTTTATTTGATCCTTATTTGATACTGTCATTTCGGTTGGTTCTGTTAATTGTAGCTGTGGTAATATGCTTATCTGGAGGAATACAAGCAGGATATTTTGAATTTATGCAAACTTAAAAATACTTAAGAAAGAAAAGTTAGCATTTCTTTTAGGTCAGTGATGACATGTCTGCTTTCATAGAATGGTCTTTGTGCCATAGCACTGACTTGACACTGACAGTAATTGGCTTCGTAACTTTGAAGTGTATGACTGAAAGCATAATTAGCTTATCTTCCACTTCTTTCAAAACTGTTTCTTTCTTATAGGGTTTTTCTCATTTAGCTGATTCTGACTGATACTAATAAGTCTACTGTTTAGACCATATTTACTTCAAAGTCAGAAGGCTAAAGTTTTGCTTTTAGTCCCTTTCTTACTTTTTAAATAGACTATATGAAGGCTGTTGCCTAGATATATTTTTTCCCAGTCTATAGTACGGTAGTACTTGCTCATTAACTGTGAAACCTCTCCTTCTGATATGTGGCCACCACAATAGCTTAGGTCTTTTTTTATTAGTAGTACATGTTAGCAGTATGTCATGTTTATGTTCTTTGTGTGGAATTGGTACCTAGGCATAACGCGTCTGTGGTGGATTAACTAATGATCAGTTTGAGTGGAAATGCCCATCTGAACTTTGTCAGTGAGATTCTGGAAAACCCACCTGAAGAATGTTGCCAAGATACAAAAGGAGGCCAGGAGGGGAAGGCTGCAAGCTGCCAGTTTCCCAGAAGCTTGGTTGGGGCTGGTTTTCCTGATGTGAACTCGCCTGTTCTCTTCACTGGAGGAGTTCACATCCTTCCTGTCGCCTGGGATGCCTGCTGTTCTCCTTAGTGGAGCTCTTTAGTTGAGTGCCTTAAGTGTTGCTTCCTGTCACCAGCGCAAATCCCTCAGCCTGCAGGCACAGATCTTTCACCCCACTGGCACAGACTCTGGATTCCACCACTGGCCATTGGCCATTTCCAGTGCGGATCCTTGATATGGACTTGCATGAAACATTGCTGAGGCTCTAAGTCTCCAGCTGGACTAGTGGAGGACACGGCCATGGGACCCAGGCCCTTGGCTGGATTCTGCATGTCCCTAGTACGAGGACAGATCTTTTGTAATCCTCTGCATTTGACTTTTTGGGTGAATATTAATAAATTGTCCCATAAATGATGTGTCCCATATTAAATCTATTCTCTTGCAAATCCTGATGACAATGACACTGTCATTTCCCTTCTTACCGCCTCTGTTTTGGATCCCCTTCCCATGTGATAAAGATGTCTCCCTATTTCCTATTTTCTATCTATTATTTTGTTCCATGTTTATAATTTGCATTTCTCATACAAGCTTGTGTGTCTGATTTACATCACTTAACATTATGGTTCCAAAGTGTATCTATCTTTCTATAAATGACTCAAGTTCATCTTACTTTGAGGCGCAGGAGCACTCCTTTGTGAGTAATTCCTCTTTATTAGAAAGTGTTCAAAGGAAGCATTATAGAAACTCACAGATATTTCAGTCTGGAGATGCATTTTCTTTTCTGACAATACTAGCAGGTTGTGAACATGTGTTTATCATTCCTACCCTCTTCTTTTCTGTGAGAAGAATGCTGTAGGCCTTTTCCTTAGTTGAGTTGAGGTTGGGACAGAAGCTATATTTGAAGTAATACTGTAATTTTGTGTTTGAGTGAATGCAGATGCAGATTTAATGTTATAAACACACTGTTTTAAAAGCAGATCTTTTCTTTCAGTCCCTTACCTTATCCTTTCCTTCCTTTGTTCCTTCTGTTTTCTCTTTCTTTTTCATCGCAGGTGAGAAAACTATGCATATAAAATAAAAAGGCTAAAAATTAAAAACAAGTAAAATTCATTCAATGAAAATAACATAAAATGACTTTGGGGGCCAAGTGTAATTTGTTTTAAGGAATCTTATTTGAGTATGTGTTATAAATTTGGACTATTTTTTTTTTTTTTTTTATCGGAACCAGGAATGGAACTCACAACCAGGCGCTTGCAAGGCAGGCACTTACGCTGCTGAGCTAAATCCCCAGCCCCAAATTTGGACTTATTTTAAAAATTCTTTTTATGTAATACTTGCCTTCATATAATTATTTTTATAGTCACTAATATAAGGCCCAAGTTTGTGACTTGAGGCAGTGTGATATAGAAGTTAAGTGCTTGGGCTTTAGCATCAGTCAGAAGTGGATGAAAATCTCTGGTCTAGCAAATAGTATGATAGCTTCTTGCTATCTCCTTAAGCTCTGGTCTTTTTTTTTTTTGGTACTGGTGATCAAACTCAAGAACTCACATTTGCCAAGAGGCACTTGCTGCTGAGCGATCCCAGCCTCTATTTCTAAAATGGAAAAAAATGATAGCTAGCTCTTGAGATTACTCTGAACATTAGATGAGTCTACATAGTGTTTGACCAAATAAACATGTGCATTTCCTGCTGTTATTGTCACCTACTTTATCTTTACCCTCATCCTCACAAAGGCTCCAAAGTGGTGGAAGATGCCTGTAATTTTTTTTTTTTTTTGTCTTTTTCATTTTTATTGGTACTGGGGATCGAACTCATGACTGCCTGCTTGCAAGGCAGGTGCTTATGCCGCTGACCTAAATCCCCAGCCCCTAGGTGCCTGTACTTTACAGCAGCCTTAGGCAGGAAGATTGCAAATTCAAGGTCAGTTTTGGCATTTTACAAAAATTTAAAAAAAAAGTGAGGTAGGTTAGAAGGCGTTTGGTTCAATCCTCAGTACAAAAAACAAAAGTGAAACAAAACATAAAAGGTCCTGGAATACTTTCTTGTCACCTAGCAGTGTGAAATACCCACACTTCTTTTTTGTTCTGCCAGATGTAGACTGTATAGTGCACGGGTCACAGAATTCAGTGGATCATAAAATTCAGTGGGAATTAAGTGAAGATTATATTTTTCCTTGGGAAGGAAGGAGATTTTACATGTACAATCAAAGATGAAAATTGTATGCATTTTGTTAGCGTAGTATTAGTAGAAAAATATTTCATTGATAAATTACAGGTATTGGTAATTCTTTTGGCTTAAATATATGCTCTTTGTAAATTTAAAGAAATTTTTATAGATAATTTAGCTCCTTAAGAGAAACATAATGTCTTAGTTATCAGAATATTGAAGGCATCTTCTAAATATTTGTTGAGCAAAAGGGATTTGCGGGGGAGTAATATATAAATTTTATAATAAAGATAATTAGGGTACAATAAGCATTACTATTTTTAGTCATAGTTAATTATTTAAATATCAGCAGTTATAAGAGATTGTAATGGGATGCATTCTTACTAAAATTGTCTTTTAAAAATCTGCTTTTGCAGGTGGTTATACCCAGAAGCCCTTTTCAGGCTAAGGGACTTCTTCTGTCATGCATAGAGGATAAAAATCCTTGTATATTTTTTGAACCTAAAATACTCTACAGGGCAGCAGGTAAACATTTTCTTCATTAAATATTTGTGCTTTATGTGCTTTGTTTTTCATAGTTAAGAACTTTTTAACTTTTTTATAAGTTAATACATACTGTTAGGAAAAATTTCTCATTGATTTCTTTTATATTTAGTTTGTCATCAGGTATGAATTTCATGTTTGGGGCGACCCAGTTAGCTATTTTATATATTGCTGTGAAGACAAACAATGTGAAATGGTAGAGAGTAGAAGGGAACCATGTTTAAATATATTGTAAATGCTTAGTAAATGTGGTTGAAACGAAGTAGCAAAGAGCTCATTATACTAAGTAATATCTAAATTTCTCTTTAGTTTAAGTGACTGTTAGGACTGCTTGTAAATCAGGATACTTAACAGTTGCAGTATCTGTGGTATCAATTCTACATTAGGGTGACTCAGCAAACTGGGATGCTTGGTCACCTTCGTTTTAGCTCAAAAAAATCATGTATCTATAAATACTTATGTGTAATTGGAAATCATGTATCTATAAATACTTATGTGTAACCGGACATTTTAAATATGAATGGACTTGTTTGGTTTAAGGTATATTTCCTTTTGAATTAAAAAACTTATGCTGCCAAATCACTTTTTTTTTTCTTTGAAGAGTTACATTCAAAACCACGTTTCCCCTGTGATGTAATTTATGTGGAACAAAATGAACAGTGTTCAGTTCAATGGGTTTTCGACAGTCTGCGTAATCACTGTCCAAAACAAGATATAGAATGTTTTAGTCACACTTGGAAGCCTGCAATCTCTTCCTGAAAATCTGTTCTCCCTACTCCATATTCAGCCACTTTCTAATTGCTGTTAATTAGTTTTACGTGTTCTTGGGCTTTGACTAAATGGGGTTACAGAGTATATATTCTATTGTGTTTGCCTTCTTTTGTTTAACCTGTTAGGCATTCATGTTGTGGTTTATGTCAGTAGTTTGTTCCCTTTTCAATGCCCAGTGCCAGTCCATTGTGTGAATATACATTATTGTTATTATCATCAACTATGTATGACATTAAAACATTATTAATAAGTAATGAACGTTGCCATTACGTTGCGTGAATGTTTACTGTTGTTGTTACTAGTAAGTAATAATAAATATTCTTTTTCTAAGCTTTATAATTGTTACTAAGCAGAGTAGCTTGCTTCTTCTGTCTTCCCTAAGCTAGTGTTCGCTATACTTCACTATATTGCAGCTATATTCCTGAGGCTGTCAATGAATTAAATGGGAAATGTTTCTTGAGTGTAGGAAAACGATCACCTGAAAATCTGAGGCACATATAGTGTTTTTGAAATTACATTCCATTGTATGAATATCCGTAATTTTTTCATGCCCATGAAAATAGGCTTGTGTTTCACTTTATTTTCAAGCTAATGTTCATCTTTGTTTTCAGTTTTTGAAAATTGTCCTCTGCAGTGTTAAGGTAAAGATTTTTTCCACATCTCAGTTAGCAGCATAATTTCTGAAATAAAGTTTTTTAAAGATTCTAGCCAAATATTTCCATAGGGAACTAACATATTAGGCATCCAAAGAAGTTAACTTGTTGACTCTACAAATTTACCCACAGTAGAATTGGAATCTATGGCTATATGATTTATATTGCAAAGTCTTGTTGTAGAATGTTTCAGTTAGAGGTAACTTTAAGGCTTCAACTTACAATTGCAGTGCATGGCTTTCTGTCATTCATCATCTTGTCTGTCTCTTGGTCTCTTGTTTTCTTTATGGAACATATTCCCATAGCTACCACTTTTAACTCCGTGTGGTCCTGAGGGGGCTGCCGGTCATCATCCCTGACTTCCATGATCTCAGAATGTGGGCCTGCAGTGCAATCCCAGTCACTCTGACTTCTGGGAATTTTTTGTGTGGACACAAAGCTGCACTGTCTGTGGGTGATTGGAGCCCTGAATTACCTTTTCCCTTTAATTTTTTGTTGATCAGTGAGCTTCTCCAAAATCCTTAATCTTACTTGAAATTTAACTTTCTTTGATTTTAAATTCCTGTAGACCTGACTTACACAGTAGACAGTTTTGACTAATGTAATATGTAGTATTGGTTAGAGAAACAATGCATCCCTTTTGAGCTGAAAATGTTGCTAGCTGGCTTACTACAGTAAACGTCAGACTTTCATAATTTAATATGGATGCTACTTTTGTCCAAATAGCTGAAGTAGCAAACTCTGATTTATTCATAATCATACCTGGCGAGGTTGCTGAGAGGATTAGGAGAAGTGATCCACATGTGTATTCATGTAGGTTTTAGTGCTGTATAAGTGTGCAGACATACAGACTGTTTAATTCTCACAACAACCTTATCAGGTAAATTCATTATCACCAAAAATGGATGAAGAAATTGAAAATTAAAGAAGTTAAGTAACTTTGTCCAAAGTCACATGCCAGGATTTGAACCTGGAGTCTGTCTCGAGAGCCCAGTGTCAGTGACACTAATGATTCCAAGTACTTTTGACAAAAGTGCATGAGGTGGTGCTGTCCCTTTGACAGACAAGAAAGCTGAAATTTAGTATGCTTAGGAAACTTACTGTAGCAGACAGAGGTAGTATGTGATGGAGCTGTGTTTTAAACCAACATGTTTTATCAGAGAAGCTCTCCTGTATTAAGTATTACACTATTGCACATAACTACTATTAAGTATTGCACTTTTGCACATAACTACTATTGAATAAAGGATGTAAATGAAATGTAAGTTCTTCCACTGTTGCAGTTTCATGTCAGAGAATAATGCTGTTCTTTGAAACTTTCCTGAAGAATTACAATGATGTGTTCTTTAACCGAATGGAGACGTGCACATACAAGCTATTGCCATCATTAAGACAGGACATCCCTGTATTGTGCAGTCTCAGCTTCAGTATGCACTACATTAGTTTCTCCATTGCATAGGATTAAATCGCTGCTTTGATACAAAAATTACATGTCACAGTCTAGTGTAGTGACAGCTGGGGAGATGGCAGAGGTTGAAGTTCTTCTTTTCACCATGAAGTCATTGAGTGTTCCCAAACAGAGGCAGAGGCACTTGGTAAATGTAAGTCTCCTTGTGCTTGGCTGGGACCTGGTGGGACTCCTTCATGAACAGATGTCATTGTCCCTGTCTCAGCTCTTTTTGACCTCTCTGAAACCTTCATTTTTGGACCTGGTGCCCATGTACTGTTCTTTACTAGAATGTCTGTTCTGAGGGCTCTCTTCTACCGTCCATGTAGAAATTACTTCTTTCAATTCTGCCATTAGCTAAATAAACTATTACAGATGAAACTAAAAATACAAAAGTAATACTATCATCATGCAGCAATTTTCTTGAATTTTTCTACTTATTTTAAATGCATAATGAATAGATATAAAACTTTGTTCTAAATGTAACAGGAAAAAGGAACCTAATAATATGTTCAGGTTTCCAGGTTATTTTAGTTAACATATTTAAATGCAGTTGATCTTTTTTGGAATGGCAGATAATGTTTAGAAATGATAAAAGAACAGCCCAGGAAATGTCAAAAATGTACAAAATGTTTATAATTCAGAAAGAGATGAGTCAAGTTACATTATCAGATAGAAGCACCTGGAGGAAAAGATACTCTCCTATGTCTTGTGAACTAGTGGTTTTATTTAATTGAATCATGATACCAAAGTAAATATGGCTTTTATCTGTGGTTCGCCTAGGGAGAAAGCATGACAGTCTAAAAGGCCAAAAGCTGGTACTCTCTGATTTCTAGGATTTTTGGAAAAATTCAAATATGTTTCATGAAAAAAATAGGTCATAATGATATTAATGATTTTTAAGGGAAATGCACTAATATATGAATTCACACATTGTGAGAACATTATTTTAAGTAGTTTTTGAATGGCAAAAGATATAAATAGTTTTCCTTTGTAGAAAAATTTTGTATTTTACATTAAGTAGATTGTTTTTGTTTTTGTGCAAACTAGGACATTTAACGTTAGGTATAGTTATTGATAGGAATATATTAAATCCATTAGTAAGAAGATTTAATGCATTTGTTCATTTTAACTAGGCTTTAAATTAAATTTTATATAATGTTTTTATATAATACCTTACAAGCAAAAATAACAGTTCCTTACTCAGCCCTTTCCAAATCCATGCTCTGTCCCCATAAGCAACTGCTTTCCATTGTTTTATTGGTTTCTTCTGATAGTCATCATATTAGTAAATAAGGTACTTACACTACTTTTAAAATGTGTAAAGTCTTGTTATTTTAGCATCTGCGTTAGTCAGCTTTCCTTTTGCTGGGGAAAATGCTTGACACTTAAACTGTTAAGGAAGGAGGTTTTTATTTGGCTCACAGTTCCTGAGGTTTCAGCCATGGTTAGCTGGCTACAATCCAGAAATACCAGAAGAGAAGGATTTTGCTGCTTAGCTCAGAGCAGCCTAGAAGAATAGCAGGTTGGAAAGTGCATAGAGAGCTATATCCTCCAAAGCTACTTCCCACAACCCAGTGACCCACCAGCTGTGAGCATTACTCGGTTAATCCACTGATGAATACAGCACCACCACCATCCAGTCACCTCTCCAGGAGCCTCTTAATCCAGTCAAGTTGACAATTAAGATTAACTGACACAAACTGGTGTATGCTTGTAATCTCAGCACTCTGAGACCTAAAATAGGAGTTCAAGCCCAGTCTGGGTGTCTCAGTTATTTAGTGAAGTTCTGTCTCCAAAAAAAAGATAAGGATGTAATTTAGTGTTAAGACCTTGGATTCAGTCCCCAATACCAAAAAGCAAGTGAAAACCTTTCTGCTAAAAGACAGGAGAATTTAAATTGTTTATACCTTCTTTTCCCCAGCACACAGTATATATCCTCCATGTTTGCAGACTTCTTCTGGAATCTTTATGAATTGTAGTTTTTGATCAGATCATAATTTAGTGGTTGTATTGCTGTGACCGTATTGGTGAGATTCATGATTGAATGAGAAATACATTTTATCATTCCTCTTTGGTGTACAATTCTTTTTCTTTTCATTTGCTTTATT